GACGGAAACGAGAACGAAGTCGCTGGCAACAGCTAGTTTACAATAAAAATTATGATGTTATCTTTGATTTTTAATTGAGATCCCGACTCTTTTGTTACCGTTTTAAAATACTCTTTAAATAAGATATACGTACTTTCTTAGACCTCAATAGACATTGATATAAATGAGAATGTATCATTTGTTCGTAGCAATATCAGTGCATCTTTGAACAGTGAATGCAATCATCAAAGGAATGTAAAGTCATAAAGAGCGATTCATTCATTAGATCATTGATCATCGAACAAGGAAACTTTGTTTCCACTATTGACTCACTTTCTCGCTAAATAACTAGTCACACTGTTATTTCAAAATTGATAAAATTTATGACTCTACCGTTATCTAAACAGTTTTTTTTTATCTGTAGGTCAGTTGGTTATAAAACTTATTGATAATGTTTTAAATATTTTTTTATAGGGATTATACGTAATCTATCGTGGTTTTACAATTGATCAAAGTACATTGTTAAAAATTAGGTATTTTATTAAGTAATTTAAGGTGTTATTGCCACAACGAAATTTTATCTGTTATGTAACTCGAGTCGAGAATAATATAAATTAGTTTTTGTACGCGACTTTCCTTGTGATTTGTCCAGAGTAGGTGCTAGTATAAAAGAATTGTAACTAGGCGACGTTCGTACATGAAAGATGTTCAATAAAAATTAGTATAAGCAATCTTTTTTTTTTCAATAATTTTTAGAAATGTTGTCTGTGTGTCTGTGTTGTTATGTGTGTTCCATCATCAGATAAAAGCTACTGTACAATATCGGATACGATTTCCAGTTGTGTACCGAAGTTCTGACTTACATAAGACCTAGATCAACCATCTAGAACTGGTCTATTTCATGGGTTTTCCTACTTTTGAAATCTACGGGTACGAATTAGAGGGAAAAACGTTAGTAATAAAAATTAAACCATCATCATAATATCAACCATTATCCATCCACTGCTGAACATAAGCCTCCTCCATAGACTGCCATAGGAACGGTTCCAGTCCTTATGGCAGTTTACCATTGGGGAGATTTTGCCAATAGTTACCATACTTGGCAGGCGGATAGAAATAATACAGAATCAATATGGACGTAAATACCACAAATTGCAACAAGAATTTTCAAAAACAGAACAAAATTTGCGATGATATGGCAGACCTACAGACAAAGAAGGACTACGTTTTACTCGTAAAATTAATTTAAAAATAGAAAGTTACTCTGTACGTGAGGCGTATAATTTAAGGTGAGGCGTTAATTGATCACCGGTTTTTAGTGTTTTATTCGAACATCTAGCCGGTTTTGTTGATCGAGGTTTATTTTTAACATTTTTTAACGATATCTCTTTTCTTTTAATAAATAAACATGGCAGGACTGTTTTGAAATATTACATGTAATATAATAGAGAGTAAATAATATTTATCGATGTTATTTACATATTATTGTTGTATTTATCGCACTGTGTGATGAATTGCACAATATTAACAATGAAAAAGGGCGCCGCTTGCGCACAAAATATTTTTGATAAAAATAATATCTTGTTTTTAATGTGAGTTATAAATACATTATATAAATAGACTGATAATGGCGAAATTAATATGTTAATATATACATAATAATTATATTATAAAAATAACAATTGTAGTTTTGTTATAATTGTTATCGTTGTCATACGTATTAAGTTATTACTATTATTACAGAGTCCTCAGGAATGGCACCGCATGAGGGGTATCATGGGCGAAACTTGTCAGCTTGTTTGGCATTCTAAATTGCATAAAAAAACAGTAATATATAAACTATGTTAACGTTTAACAATATGTTCAATAGTGGACAGATAATGGCCAAGATGATGTTGATAATGACGAATATAAAAACTACTCATACAAAAAATTGTCATAAAGAATCTCTGACGAGTAAATGGTAAAAGTGGTAAATGTACATTATTTCAAGAATTTCACATGCTAAAAGTTTTAAAATTCGAATTCGAACCGATGATGAAGATGATATAGAGTTTAAAAAACAAATAAAAAAAAAAGCTGAATTCATAACCCAATTCTTTTTTGGAACCGGTTATAAATATAAAACGTTCGTTCCATTGCGACGTTTTGTAACACTGACATTCGTTTAGTCTGAATATATCTAATTTTTATATAGGCAGTTGTCTAGTCTAGTGATCCAGCCCGGCTTCAAATTGCCAGATAGAAATTTTGAAAATAATATTTATATAACCTATGTTACTCGCTGATGATGTAGCTTTCTACAGGTGAAAGAATTTTTAAAATCGGTTCAGCGGTTGGTTTGAGTTCATCTATTACAAATAAACAAACTAAATTACTTTCCTCTTTATAATATTAGTATAGTTAATGAAAATGACAACTGATATTCAAGTAAAATCCGTCTGGCCTGATGGCCAGCGATTAATATAAACTACGTATCCATCATATCAGCCTTCAACTGTCTACTGCTGAACATAAACCTCTCCCTTGGGGGGTTTTGCCAGTAGTTGCCATGCTTGGCAGGCGGATTGGCAACCACAATTAGGATTTGGAGATGTTTTAAGAGGGATGCTGCTGTCCATCCCTCGCCCTCTCTTAGTCACCTCTTACAACACTTACGTGAAAGGAAGGTATGGCTTATTCTATGCCGGAACCACAGGAGAATGTATAGATATACATCAGATTATCATGTGCTTTATTAATACTAAAATATAAAGGTTTTTAACGTTGTTAACGAAGAATTCCACGCTTTAGTCTTTTGGGAAACATTGGCAGAGAGCTCATTCCTTAACAGTTGTTATTGATATGAATTGAAAAAGTAATAGATAAATTAGTTATTCAAAGAGGCAGACAGCGCTGATTGATTTTATTGCCGTGTCAACGTACATTAAATGATATTGTTTATATTAATGTACTGTAGGAAGCCAGCAATGGAAAAAAGTAAAGCGGCGGACGCAGGGAAGGGTTATCGCTGTGACATCTGCAAGGGCATATGCACATTCAGAGCAAGTGTTAACATGAGCGAGTCATAATGAGAGTGATTATTTAATAATTAGTTTAACAACCGACTTCAAAAAAGGAGGTTCTAATATCAAAAAATAACGAAAAATGACTATTCAAAAATACTTGAATGTAAACGTAAGAGGCGACTGAGGGACGGCAAGGGATAGGCAGCAATGTCCTTTTTAAAACATTTCCAAAGCCTAACATTGGAGGGATTGTTAGTAATGTGAACTACCAGTCCCATTGCTAGCAATATACCCTGTCAGGTCGACCTGCATGTGGTCCCCCTGGTAACCATCATGCTGAATTCTAGATACATACTTCACAATGGGCCAACTGACCTGCCATTTCATTCTTGCCTATTATCCCTCACTGGTGCCCCGCCCGCGTATACCGCTAGCGCAGGCGGGATTACCATTCCATTATCATCCATTAAAAAAATACTAACTGCGGTTGCCAATCCGCCTGCAAAGTGTGGCAACTACTGAAAAACCCCCTAGGGACAGACTTATGTTTAGCAGTGGATTACATATATAACATTAATATTGCTGATACGAGAGGATTAAATAATATTAGTGGTAAATATAAGATACGATGTGTACTATAAAAAATAATGCCGATTTTGTTAGATACAGAATTGAGATATCAGTAATACGAACTATTGATTATTATTGAAAGAATTATTCTATTAGAAATTTTTAAACGACTTCTAAAAAGGTTTTCCAAATAGATTATTTTATAACAATCCCCTATTATAATTCCACTATTGGGCAAGGGTTTTTCCTAGTAAGAGAATATTTTTCACACTACTGCACGAAAAAAGGTTTTTTTTTTATTTTTTTTATACAACTTAGAATTTCTGTACCCTGCAAATTTACTGACATATCTCACCCTTCAAACCGGGGGAGGGGGGGGGGGGATTGTTAGCAATGGAGTTTGACAGCCCCATTGCTAGCAATGCACCTTATTAGATCGACCTCCACGTGGTTCCCCTGGAAACCATCGTGAATAATTCTTGTTGAATTCGTCACGATAGGCTAACTGGCCTGCTTCATCCTCACTTATCATCCTTCACCGGTGCCCTGCCGGTATATACCGATAGCGCGTGTGGGGTTACCATTCCATTATCACCCATTATAAGAAAAAAAGCCTTTCTAACCGAAACACAGGCATGCAAACAACTGTTTCATGGTAGAACACGAATGAAACAGAGGTGTCCAAACAAATGACTTTTGTACAAAGTCACCCTATGGTATACCTAATTAATTTTATATTTACTTATAGACTTCTATAAACTCCGCCATATTTGGATAAATCTAAATGTAGGTAGTCAGTGGGTGGTAATAAAATAAATGTATCTACCTCTCACTTAAAGAATTATATAAAAAAAATCAATTTCATAAATGTAGGTAGAAGTATTTTTTTACTAAGCATGTGTGAGTGGAATGTAAAATAGATTTGTTGTAATAGGTTATAAATTGCTTTAAATAATTAACAATAACTACTTTATATGATGCAATAAAACATTTTAAACAAAAAAAAAAAAAAACATTTAATTGACATTGATTGGTACTACCTACTACCCTACTAAAAAAAATGAACCGCATAAAACAAGTATTCATTTTTTTTCAAACTATAAATAATTACCTAAGTATTTAAGTAACAAAGAAAACGATTTGTCTGTCTTGCAGATACATAAACACATTCTTTTACGTAGGTAAACCATAATGAGTACCGTTATCAACATGAGTTTCAAAATATGTAGAAATGTGGCTAATGTAACTATTAAGCAAAGTGTACAATTATCTAAAATACAATTTTCTAAACAGCTTCCTTTATTATTTTTTTGTTTAAACAGATCTACATGTTTATCGAATACGTACGAATAACAAACCGGCAGCGTGGTGGATAACCGGCCGGCATTTTTTCTACGAAATTATTATAACGTTTAACTAAGAATAAAGACATAAATAACTCACCAAGCGTCTTCATGAACTCATCAAAATTTTCAGATGACACCATTTTGTATTTCTTACCGACGAATTCCATTTTTTATATATGAATAAAATATACTATTTACGTAAAAAATATACGTCTAATAAGAACGTCGGCTATAACTAGAATGACTTCAGTGCAGACTCTGACAACGTCGTGAGTTAACTTCCCGCCGAAATGCTTTCAACGCATGCGTGAATGACCGGTTTTATAATGAACAGATTACAAAGAACGAATGATACTATGCACCTAGTGATGTGATTAGACTTATCGTCATGGTACTCGATATGTACGTGTATTCAGTCCATACCATGTATAGTCTGTTTGAATGGAAATTAATAAAAATATAAACAAATAAATAAATAAACCGATTTTAAGACAGTTTTCTGACGTTTAAAAGTAGTATAAAAAAAAACAGAAAGTGTTTCCGTGGTAATTTCTATAAAACTTGGTTACATTTTAATTAGTTTAATCGAAAGAAAATATGTTTAGTATTTAATAACTTTTATATACTTAATTTTAGTATAATGAATTGATCAAAACTATAAGTATTACTTTTTCTATATTTTACTTGTACGCTTAAAGTGATACGATCATTTTCATGACTGACTAGATGTTGCAGAATTATAAAGTTAATAAAGATAAAACGAAATTGCCGTCACCTTCATTAAAAAAAAAGTACCTGAAAAGGTTCAAAGTGCTTGCTTTCATTTATACCGTATTAAGTACATTAATATTATTTAATTTTATCTACTAACTTCTTTCATACTTTATTTCTTGGTTATGACCAAGAGAAAGAATACAGACAAGTGTATGTGCATCTAAACATTACAGCAATAATTAATTGAATATTAATGACATATTCATGTGTATTTCTTAACTAATTTCGATAGCAACCTAAACGTCTAAGTTTTTATTCGAATAGTATCTTAATAAAAAAATTCTTAATCTTCTGTATGTATTTTTTTTCCTGATAGGTGTAAATTCACCTTCTTGCATCTTTTTATCAGCACTTAATTTCGTGATTGAATCGAGATTTGTCCTCTTTGAAGTTGTTGATACTAGTCATATAGTTATGCATTACATGCAGCGGTTCTCCATCACTATATCAAAATACGTACTTTCCCTAAAAGTAACAGCTCTTGCGATATTCGTTATACGACGAACTAACATCACATCACTAACTGTCGTTATCTCACTCTATGCTACGAAAAACCGTAGTTCTTTCTCTCTCTATGATGCTATTCACAACTGCCCTCATGAACATGAGATCAGAGGGCAATACAAACCGGACGACAGAAGAAATGCGGTTTATTATCATATTAATTTAGAAATCAAATTAGACATTTTTTATTTCTATTTATATTAAGTAAATCAAAATCCATTATAATATGAAAACGACATTTAGTATGAAAAAAAAAAAAACTTTTTTTTCATTCAATAAGAGTCAAAGTTAATAATAAAATGAAGAAATGAAGACAAGTCAATATCCTTCTTAAGTGTTATATTATTTTAAATACATACATGATAATTTATCTTAATTCACACGATATAAGTGTGTGTAGGATATAGTTTTTTTTTTTTTTTTTATGGGTGTAAATGGTATGGTATCCCCGCCTGCGCTAACGGGATACGCTGGCGGAGCACCAGTGAAGGGGGATAGATGAGAATGAAAACAGACCAGTTAGCTTATCATGATAAATTCATCACTTAACCATGATAATTTCCAGGGGGGACCGCGAGGAGGTCGTTCCTACCTGGTTCGGTATATTGCTAGCAATGGGATTCTCAGTCTCCATTACTAACAAGCTTTATTTGTCCACTGCTGAATATAAGATTGTGCCGTAGTTGCCACGCTTGACAGGCGGATTCGCAACCGCAGTTAGGCTTTGGAGATGTCGTAAAAAGGACGCTGTTGCCCATTTCCTCGCCCTGGCTTAGTCGCTTCTTATGACACCCACGGGAAAGGAAGGGATGGCCTATTGTATGTCGGTGCCACACCGCACAACTATTAAAATACTAAAGGTTATTATATAAACCTATTTAGAAGCCCAGTTCTAAAACCACAAATACTGTACCCATTTAAAATTATAAATTAATATTTGTATTGTAACTTATTTAAATAACAGTTATGTTTTTACGAATAAATTTCAAATTATTTAATTTTATATCAATTAAGTATCAAAAATAAACAATTTTTATAGAGTTTTGTTTAGAGTAAGTTGATTATTTATTTAATAGAAAAGTTTTCTCTTTGTGATATTTGATAATTATTATCCTTATTATTATCATACAAACACAGTATTTTTATCGAAGTGTGGCAATGTATACATTATTTGTCAATTTTCAAAATTAAATACTTAAAAAAAATGTAAGTGGTTCATGCCTTGACAGTAAATTATTTGTTTAAATTATTTACAGATAAAATACTTTGTATACTTTTATTATCATTATATATTTATACGGAACTAAATTGTTATCGAATAGAAATGAATAATTTATAAAAAAAAAAGTAATTGATTCTATTTTTAAATCACCTCTTTAACTAAAGAATATGATTGACAACTCTATGAAATCATTTGCGGCGCCAGCGTCTCTGTAGCCGTAGTGTGACGACCCTGTTATAATGTATGACGTGTCCTTGAATGTAAGTAAGCGCCGAATATAATGTTTCTCGCAACTGCTTGGAATAATTTTGTGTAAAAGGTTTATCGACTGTTAACCATCGATGGTATTGATTCTTAGGAACAATTTCTCTAAACCTTTATTCAAAATTAAAAGTACAATTTAATATCATAAAAAAATTGTATTCTAAGGACCAATATGAAATAAATTAATAAAATAATAAATTCGAATATACTTATGTCAAAATTATTAAATAAATTTTGTTTACGATGGCCTAAAAAACAGTAATTCCGCGAAACTATCCTTTGACAATAACTTTCAGTAAGGACTACCATAATCGAATCCAGTATCTTCTAACTTGGATAAAATTTTACAAGAGATATAAAAAGCATATTTAGATATAGCTTCCCATTCTTGCACCATCGTGTTTTATAATGCGGTTCGTGATATAATGCTGTGCTCTTTGATTTTTCCTTTCAGAAAACCCCAAAGATGTTCGATGGGGTTTAGTTCTGGGGACTGAGCAAGCCAATTCAACAAATTGTTGATTCACTAAAGCAGCGCATTATAGTCGATGATTTATGACACGAAGCATTGTCTTCTTGAAATATGATTCCATCTAAGTTGGTGTAGCCGAAAATACGAGTTAATGAAGGCATTAGCGCAGTTTTTAGCTCATCTATGTACTTCCACTGTTCATGCGGCCTTCGCAAAAGGACATTTCGCCGACACCATCAGCAGCCATGTAGCCTCAGATCATTATACTGCCTTCTGCGTGTTTAACAGTCAGTACAACGCAGTTGGTATTCTGCACCCAAGCGTCGCCTCACGAAGGTCACACCTGGTGTTCCAAATACCTGCAAAAAAAGACAAAAAATACATATTTTTTAAATCATTATAATTTAGAAGATTGAAATATGGTATAGAGGAAATTGTTTTAATTGTTGATAACATTGATAAAATAAACTTACCTCAAAGTTGGATTCGTCAGATCAGACCATATTAGACCAATCTTTCTCCGTAAAGTGTTATAATTATTACCATTCTATCTACCCGTGCAAAGGTTGGGTAGATCACTAGTATAGGTATAAAGTGGAAGAGTTGATTTGTTTGAACGCGACAATTTCTGGAACTACCAGTCGGATTAGAAAAATCTTTCTGAATTTGATAGCTCTTTGAAAAAGGTTCTAGGCTATTCAACATCACAATACGACCGCGTTCAGAGCCGCGGGATACAGTAAGTTAAATTATTTCCGTATGTAACATTCTAATAAGAGTTATTGCCATACAATTAACTTTTTTTTATGCAACTTAGAATGGCAAACAAGCTGACGGCCCACCTGATGGTAAGTGGTAACCGTCGCCTATAGATATGAGCAGTACCATGGAAATAATAGAGTGTACTGTTTCGCCCATGCGTTGCCATTCCTGAGGACTCAGGTGTTATTCCTCTGTACCCAGTAAATTCACGCCATATCCCACCCTTCAAACCGAAACACAGCCATGCAAACACAACTGCTTTACGGTAGAAACAAGAATGGGACAGAGGTACCCAAGCAATCGACTTATGTACAAAGCCTCCTTGTTGTGTATTCTTAATATACTGTGCCGAGTGTATATTAATAAAAAAAAAATTATCTTTAAATTTACATTTACTATAATCAATTCCTATAGAAGGGAATGGCATTGTTAGTATTGGGAATCTAACAGCCCTATTGCCAGCAATATACCCCATTAGGTCGACCTCCTCGCGGTTCCGGCTAGAAATCATCTTGATTAAATCTTTATGAATTCATCCCTACGGGCCAACTGATTTGTTTGATCCTCACCTATCATTTATCACTGGTGCCCTGCCAGTAAGATGGGTTACCATTACATAGTCATCCATTAAAAAAAACAATCCCTATTGATTAAATTACATTAAAGCGTAAATGTTATAATAAACTTCCCCTGAAACTTGAAATCTCTTCATAATTAACATGCATTCATTCTTCAACGCTTTCTATTCATAATATATTCCATTTGCATGAAAATTACATGTAAACGTGGCCGTAGCTAGGCAGGGAGGGGGGCATATTGGGGCTCCTTAAAAGGTCTAATGAAAGACCCTTAAAATGAAAGACTCCAAGAAAATTAGATTCGCTTTTTCGAAGTCACATAATCATGGCTTCTGTCTTACCAAAAAGTTCTCTTGCCTTACCTTATATTTATTACGTCATCATTATATCGATTTTTAACTGCCCACTGCTGAACATAACAACGCCTTGGGGAGTTTTGCCAATAGTTGCCACGTTTATCAGGTGAATTAGCAATCGCAGTCAGGCTTTAGAGATGTTTTAAGAGGGACGCTGCTGCCCATCCTTCGCCCTCTCTTAGTCGGCTCTTACGACACCTACGGGAAAGGAAGGGGTGGCCTATTCTAAGTCGGGCCCACACGGCCAAATTTATCACGTCTCATTTTAATTTCGTTGGGATTGAAATAGTTTTTTATTTTTATTTTCACATATGACGTAGACCCTAATTTATACATCCAACATAACCAAAATCTAGATCGCAGGCAATTTATAAACTGGTCAGAATTATGTTAGGCACCTATTTTAGTATTTCGTTGTTCGAGGAAGATAAATCTTTTAAAACTTTGGATAAATACTCGTATTTTGTAAATTAGATAAATATTGATACTACTACTGCTACTCTTGTGAGAGTAGTGCCCTCTTATGTTAGAAGTTTAAGGCCGTCTGCTTTTTGAACTAGGGGTGAATAATTTTTTTTTTTTACAACACAGGGGGCAAACGAGCATGCGGCTCACCTGGTGATAAGTGACTACCGCCACCCATGATCACCCACAACACTAAAGGCATTGCTGGTGTGCTGCCGGCCTTTTAAAAAGGAACATGCTCTTTTCTTGAAAGTTATGTTGTCGTATCGGTTTGAAAATACTGCTGCTGGAAGTTGATTCAAAAGAGTGGTTGTGCGTGGAAGAAAGTGTAAAAGAAAGTTTATTGCCAACAGCGATTAGATTCTTCAAGGACCTTAAGTATATTACAGTCTTAAACAGTAAAGTTTCTGATGTGTAGGTATATACGTTTCGATACAAGCAGTCCAATAATAGAAGACATGTCGCGTGTGTCAACCCTTGTGACATACAGTTCCCGAGTCACAGTATTCAGTAATTTCATTGCCCTCACTCATACTTACTTGAACACACCTAGCAACAAGTGACTTATTATTTAGAGAAGAAAGGATTGGTGGTAATGGGGACGAGCTGCCTAATAGCTTGCTAGCAATATACTCTATCAGGTCGACCTCCATGCGGTTACCCTAGGAAACTATCGTGATCTGCTTTCAATCTCACCTATCATTATTCACTGGTGCCTGCGTATACCAATAGCGCAGGCACCGTTATCATTCCATTTATTAAAAAAACATTCTATCAGGTCGACATCGATGAAGTTCGCCTTGGAAACTATCTTGGTAAATGCTTTATGAATTTATCACAATTGGCCAACTGACCTGTTTCATCTTTCTTTCTTTCTCTGATATCTCGCTAGCGTATACCCAAAACGTAGATGAAGTTACCGTTCCATTATTACCCATTAAAAAAAAGTAAATTATTTGGCGGCAAGTAACTCAACTTTGTACCACAGATAATTATTATTCTATATCCTTATAATCAAGATTATTAATTGTGTATATCGCTCTCTAGTACTAAGAGTTTCTAGACTGTTATCATTATTTACTAAGCCCTCTGTCTGATATGGTTTACTGGATGACGGCTTTATGCCCTCTGAAGTACAAAATAAGTGACAATAATTTTTCAACCAACTTCAAAAAGAAGGTCTCAATTTAGTTTTTTTTTATGTTTCTTATTGTTTATCACAACTCCATCAGTAGTTATTTTTTTATCTTAAAGAATATATTTACAGATTGGTCCTTTAGAAATTTTATCAAAAACGGTTTAATATTTTAGTTTTTAAATCAAAATACTCGTAACTGGTTTATTCCACAATTAAAGTAGTTTGTTTATTATAAAACACAATGTTAACCCAAACATGAATTTGAAAATTCGTTTAGACTGGGATTCGATCTTGCCACCTCCAAACCGCAATCATGTGTTGTCTGAGCCGAAACCCACTTTACTAATCAATGATTCACTAGTAAAGAAAAAGTAAAAATATTTTATTTAAGTAAAACAAGCATTACACTCGTACAGATTGACTTTTACGTAAAACAGCGCAAACTGAAACAAAATAATCCACATTTATACTTGTTTATATTAGAATTTTGTATGTGCTCCCCCAAGTACGTCTGTTTGAATCTCTTACAGTACATAGCTATACATATAATGTACATGTTTTGCTTACACATTGTATTTAAGCTCTATTTAATATGCGTCTTCCTTAATACGACCATCAGTAATATAAAAATAACGACGACGCGTCTAACGCACAGTCCACTGCTCGAGTTCCATACCATAAGAATATATAGGTTCGGTCCTTATTCTTATGCCCATAGCTCACCCATAGCACACCCATAGCAACATAATATTTTCAGCTATTATTATAAATGTAAGAGTTTATTTATTTATTAGGTACTTCATACCGCCTTAACAGTTTAACCAATCACTATGAAATTTGGCATATACATTCTATGTGGGATGGAGATTGGAGAAGTAGTTTGTAGTTAAGGTAAAATACATTTTATGTTTTTTTTTTTTATGCCATGAAGGTTGCAAACAAGCATATAGTCCGTCTGATAATAAATGGTCGCTGTAGCTTATGGACGCTTGTTGGCGTGTCCATAAGCTACAGTGACCTACATGCAAGTAGACTACATGCAGTAAACATGCAAGATAGTAAGTACTATCTTGCATGTTTCCGACCCTGAAGAAACCTTAATACGTCCATTTAGAAGAACCCTATACTGAAGTCTCTAGAGAAAATCTCGGTACTGCAAAGATACCAAAATAATAACTTAATTATTAATAACTGAATTATCGTATTATTGTTGAAAATAAAAAAGTTTATTTTTTATTTTTAAAGAAATAATCAATCATATTTTGTTCTCCAAGTTTTCAAAAAGGCTGAGATTTACATTTAGGGATTTCTCTTTTTTATTTTTAGATATTAATGGGATTTCATAAATTTTACAAAAATTTAAGTCGGTCATTTTCGTTTCCGTAAAAATATCTAATTACTTTTATTCTCCATAATGTAAAATAATCGTCCCATCGGAAATCCACTTTAACAACGTAGACGTAGTGCGCAAGCGTGTTACTGCCGTCATTCCATTCCAGCATCCTTTCAGTTCGCATCCGAGCACCACCGCCATCGCCCACCACCACCGCGACCCACCTAGTGTTCGTTGTTATAACCCTACCAAGGTAAGAATACAAACAAATATCCAAATAATTTATGATTCGTTCTTATTGCGAGAAGAGAAATAAATCATTTGAAATTAAAAATAATAAAAATCCGTTCACAATCGGCAATGATAGCGCGTAACACACATATAAAAAAAATCTCGTGTTTGAAGTAGCATGATATAAAAGTATTAGAATAAATTTTGATTTGTTGTCATATAATCTTTTACTGAACTATTTATATACATAATAGCCAAATTGGTATAGCTGTTCTCAAATGATGCATTAGGATAAACGATTATTTTTTTTTAATTCATATACTAAAAAATTCGATTATGAAGCTTTATTACTTTTTACGTTTGACAGATTAGTTGCATTACAATAATAAAAAGGGTTACTCTCAATTAATTCTTAAAATTATTTCTTTAAGGGTTGTATATTTAAAAAAAATGTACTATTTTTTTTTATTTACTGGTAATGTGAGGGGCATTGCGAGTTCTTATTGCGTTGGTCGCTGATTTTTTATAAGAACAAATTTTAAATGATTTCAAAAAGGCTGTTTTGAAATCCACTATATTTTTTATATGTATGTTACGTGATATACTTATACCACGTAAATAGTAAAAGCTGCCGATTTGGACCACTTTCAATGATTGCGTTTTACAATCAACATATTTATTCCCGCGTTGGTGCGATTTTTATAATTTCGTCAGGATCAAAATAGTAAGAAGAAGTAGTCAATGGTCTTTTGTAAAACGATAATGGGACATTGTAGAATTGAATGACGTCTCATATCTGATATCTGGAGGCCTGGACTGGCCTGTAGTCCATACTTTTTCGGTGCGTGCAGTATAAAAGTATGGGGGGGTTAAAATGCAATGGTAACCCCTATGGTCTGCACTATCGATATATGCTAGCGAGGCAGCAAGGAGAGATGATAGATGAGGATGTAGTCAGGTCAATTGGTCCGTAGTAGTGAATTTACTAGAAATTAATTACGTTGCTTTTTGTTCATTCCAGTCAATTTATCTTTACGCGGATGAGGTACGACTAAAAACAAGAAAAATACCAATTTTGAGTTTGATTGATTGACACATTTCTCATCTCTAATTCTTGGAAATGGGAGTAAAAAATTTTTGTCATTTGTTGTTTTGAGACCCATCTGTTCCTTTGGGATAAACGTCCAGTTCCACTGGAATACTTCTTTAAGACATTATCTTCAAAAACATTTGAATAATAATAATTTTAATTTCTAAAATAGAGTAATTATTATTCTATTAATATGTACCTTACTTTCTACTTCCTTATTCTCCATTAAGTTCTCTTTTTTCTTACAATGTTTAAACAGTTGATAATTTTTGTATGTATTTATTTGAATATAAATATAATCTTGTATATATTTATGTAAAGTTGTTTACAATTCTATTTATTTATTTATATATATATATATTATACTACATATTTTATATTAGGTTTTATATAGTTTCCTTATTATTTTAAAGTACCGCCTTCAAACGTCTCGTAACCCTTAAAATCAACATAATTACGTTATACCCTCTTATTCATAAAAATTAAAACCTCCTACTAACCTACTTTAACTGTTACACTGTTTTGTCACTTTCATTCAAACTGAGAATTTATCATAAAAGAAAGAGACAAAACAGTTCAATAGCTAAAATAGATTTCTGAATTTTGACGTTTTTATGAATAAGGGGGTAAATCTGATTTGCCCCATGGTTGACTGGTATAGAACGCTATTAGGTATTATATCCGCCATGTCTACCTTTGTCATGTATATGAAAGTTAAATAAATAAATAAATAATTGTATTAAACAGAACAGAAGATATATAGACAGAAGATAGATCTATTTATTATCCAATGATAACCGTCATTTTATCACGCGAAAACAAACTAATAGCTAAATAAGATTTGTTAATGAAAGCTATTAATATTGCGTTTCCGGAGATTGATTATTAACTCAATTATAATAAAATGCAGAAGCTTTTGTGAAAATTAATCATAATTTTGTTAATTGCGGGATAATAAACAGCTGTGTTCGCATGGATGGGTTTCGGTTAGAATGGCATAGATAGTGATAAATGACGTAGATAGAAGTGGATATGATAGTGAAATTGCATGGTACGCAATCATAAGACCATTATTGTAATTTTTTTATGCAACTTAGAATGGCAAACAAGCTGACGGCCCACCTGATGGAAAGTGGTAACCGTCGCCTATACACATAAGCAGTACTGTGGACATAACACAGTATACTGTTTCGCTCATGATACCCCCCATGCGTTGCTATTCCTGAGAATTCAGGTGTTATTCCTCTGTACCCTGTAAATATCAGCATAATCATATCAGCCGTTGACTGTACATTGCTGAACGTAGACCTTCTCCTATTGAAGGGTTTTAAGAGTAGTTACCACGCTTGGTAGGCGAGTTAGCAACCGCAGTTAGGTTTTGGCAGTAATGTTTTTATAGGGACGCTACTGCTCATTTCTCAATAATTACTAAGTTCCCTTAGTCGCCATTTTTTGATATTTTTTTATGGAATATTTATATATATATATATATATGTACAATTTATACTCGTGCAAAGCATGAGTGGCTCGCTAGTTGATGCTTATATCCAATTCTTGTAAAGTGGAACAATAATGGATTATTTATATAAATTATGGATTTATGTAATAACGAAAGGTTTATTTTCTTAAAAAAACCACTTAAATGTATTAGACGTAATCGATTCCTTTATGAGTAATAAAAAAGAAAGATTTGTTCGTCTTTAAATTTTTTCATGTGAGTTAGTTAAGCTGAAGTTATTTTGAAAAGAATTAAGATTGCGTTAAAAAAATCGACTTCAACTCAGGCAAAAGTAGTTATTTTGACTTAAAAACTAAACTGATTTTGATAAAGTTCCTATCGGATCAACTTGTACTTAGTATATCTGAAAGGATATTTCAGATAAAAAAAATAGTTTTCCAAAACTATTTAGATTTGATGGAGTTATGAAGTAATAAACAAAAAATAATATTACCGAATTAAGAACCTCGTCCCATTGATATCCATGGTGTTGTTCGTTTCTAGATCCATATGCGTTGCCATTGTTTTTTTTTTATTTTATTTTATACAAAAATCCATAGCTATTAAAAAATAACTTAACATGCTAAGTCTCTTATGAATATAGCCAATAACGGATTTTATTTATACAAACAAAAATTTTGATTCCAATGCGAGGTAGGCAAGTTAGAGTGGGTGTATGCAAGTAATATAAGTTTTAATGGGTGATAATGGAATGGTAACCCCGCCTGCGCTATCGGGATACGCTGGCGGGGCACCAGTGAAGGATGATAGGTGAGAATGAAGCAGGTCAGTTGGCCCATCGTGACGAATTCAACAAGAATTGTTCACGATGGTTTCCAGGGGGAACCATGTGAAGGTCGACTTAATAGGGCATATTGCTAGCAATGGGGCTGTCAAACTCCATTGCTAACAATCCCTTTCCCCCAGCGTTGCCATTGTTAAGAACTATGGTGTTATGCCTTCAAACTCTGTAATTTCACTGCTACAGAACTTTTTGAAACAAAATATAAATTTTAAATTCAAATATCGAACATACCTAGCTAGTTTTTGAAGACGTTCAAAAATAGAATTAGAATCGCCGAATATATAGTGTAACAGATGCAAAAACAAAAACAATCAAGGTAATTCGCAATTATTGTGGTAATCTACAAAATCTCTGTTGATACAGAAATAGCTGAATTACCGCAAACATAGTTCTTATCCGAAAATACGTATATTCAAAACATTTTCCAAATTTGTTTACGTTACATAGTCCACCCGCAACAAACCATAAGACTGGTTGACGCCAGATTTATTTATTATTGTAAACTTTGCGCGATTCTAATACAATTTAATCGTGGGAATGGGTTGCAAAATAAATATTGAACATGCAGATTCGGCTTTGTGATAAATTAGATATTGAGCGTAAAACAGAAACCTTCAGCTAGGTATATTTATGTTTTCGCATTTTGTAAATACTCGGTTATATATAGGTATGTTTGTATCATCTAGTTTTAACCCCAAGAATACGGACTTAATTCTTATACCAGAGAGAGTATGAAAAGATGTAATAGTCAGTGGTCCATCTAGAGATATTACATTATTAATGCAAATGTGAAAATTTATAAGTGTATGTTTATTACTGAATGAGTTTAATGAAATTTGGTACTTAACATATACTATATGTTATACTGATTCACGCGGGCAAAGCTGTGGGAAACAACAAGTATAGTAATTTATATGAAGGTCCTTTTTTATAATTTGTTTCGCTGATTTTTTTACTTTTATTTGTAGTGCAAACTTGTGTTAGTCCATAGCATTTAATATCTCGCGAAATGGCGCAGGGTCGTAACATTTTTTTTTCAACCGATTATAAAAAGATTTCCAATTTGGCTGTTCCCAATTTCCCGATTAATTTCGAGATTATCTTTTTAGTTATGGTAAGTTTATTTGGATTGTGGATGGCGATTTAAAAAATAATTCATTTTAAAAACATGGCATTAACTCTAAATTCGAAAATGACACCATGTTTTTTAATCAGTGACTACCAATTATAAAAAAAGATTAAATTTAATACTGATAAAAACGAGAAAAGATGGGAATATTAATATTTTTTTTTTTTTTTAATTTTCGTTTTCATAACCGTTTTCGAGTAATTTCATGCGAAATCGAATATATAGAATATTTTAAGACAAAAAGATGACGGGTATAAAAATATTGTTCTAAAAGTACACCGTCTATTTAATAAATGCCGGGTCGAGCCGTTTTGATTTACAAATGCTGTTTCATCCTTCATTCAAAGGCCTCACTGGTTTAAAGAGAATGTTTTATGCTCATTATTTAAAGGGATATACAGCGTTAAGCTGGAAACATCTGATTCCCTTTCATCAAGAATAATGGTTCAAACAAAAAACATGCAAATTTGAATCATTACTCAGTACATATACGTGCTATA